GCCTTTTTTGTGAATACAGTACTGTGCTGGATCTTGGTAATAGCAATATTTTTTCCATAAACCGAATAATTCTATATGAATAAAATCACTACATATACAACTAATTTTACTACTTCAACAAGTTATGCAATTAGTGAAAACAGTATTTTATTTAGCCATTGTATAAACATAAGTAATACACTGATGATACTGCACTAATCACAAAATATTCAATATTAATGTTAGCTCAACAAAGTCTCATATCTTATTTCCTAGGAACTCCACTTTAAAGGAACAGTTCAAAATAAGGTATATTAGAGTTATCAGTTTAGCATAACAAACTTGCATCAATCTTACATTCATATTCCATGCATTTGTTAATGTTTGGCAAAGTGCAGTGATAATATGGCAAGTCAATATAGTATATGCATGACTGTATATTAAATCTATCTCAAACCTAATTAACCTAACACAAAACAGGCTTTCCTCCCTCCATGCAAGGTATTCTTGAGTACAGTACTGTGCTTATTATTTATTCTAATTTATCATCTCTCCTATACAAAAGTCCTGTTCACTTTGTAATCCTCACTATTTAATAAAGATGTAATACACTATTTTTTTATTGTAAAAGGAAATATGTTAAATCATTGAGTATACATTAGAAAACAGGAATAAACAGGATATAAATAATGTGCTGAAAATGTCTAACCAAAACCGAGCTCGATGGCAACAGATATAAATTGGACAAATTTAGATTTATAAAGAATATAGGAAGCATAGTTTGGCAAGAGTTGCAGATGAGTAAACAAACACCTAAGTAGCCTCATAGGTGGGGAGAACTACGCAGCTTTAAATACGTAGTTTGGAAGAGTACATGAGTAGGTGTGGTTGGGTGCAGTAGTAAGTGTGGTTGGGTGCAGTAGTAAGTGTGGTTGGGTGCAGTAGTAAGTGTGGTTGGGTGCAGTAGTAAGTGTGGTTGGGTACAGTAGTAAGTGTGGTTGGGTACAGTAGTAAGTGTGGTTGGGTACAGTAGTAGGTGTGGTTGGGTACAGTAGTAGGTGTGGTTGGGTGCAGTAGTAAGTGTGGTTGGGTACAGTAGTAAGTGTGGTTGGGTGCAGTAGTAAGTGTGGTTGGGTACGTAGTAAGTGTGGTTGGGTGCAGTAGTAAGTGTGGTTGGGTACAGTAGTAAGTGTGGTTGGGTACAGTAGTAAGTGTGGTTGGGTACAGTAGTAAGTGTGGTTGGGTACAGTAGTAAGTGTGGTTGGGTACAGTAGTAAGTGTGGTTGGGTACAGTAGTAAGTGTGGTTGGGTACAGTAGTAAGTGTGGTTGGGTACAGTAGTAAGTGTGGTTTGGGTACAGTAGTAAGTGTGGTTGGGTCAGTAGTAAGTGTGGTTGGGTACAGTAGTAAGTGTGGTTGGGTACAGTAGTAAGTGTGGTTGGGTACAGTAGTAAGTGTGGTTGGGTGCAGTAGTAAGTGTGGTTGGGTGCAGTAGTAAGTGTGGTTGGGTACAGTAGTAAGTGTGGTTGGGTTGCAGTAGTAAGTGTGGTTGGGTGCAGTTAGTAAGTGTGGTTGGGTGCAGCAGTAAGTGTGGTTGGGTGCAGTAGTAAGTGTGGTTGGGTACAGTAGTAAGTGTGGTTGGGTGCAGTAGTAAGTGTGGTTGGGTGCAGTAGTAAGTGTGGTTGGGTACAGTAGTAAGTGTGGTTGGGTGCAGTAGTAAGTGTGGTTGGGTACAGTAGTAAGTGTGGTTGGGTACAGTATAAGTGTGGTGGGTGCAGTAGTAAGTGTGGTTGGTACAGTAGTAAGTGTGGTTGGGTGCAGTAGTAAGTGTGGTTGGGTACAGTAGTAAGTGTGGTTGGGTGCAGTAGTAAGTGTGTTTGGGTACAAGTTGGATTCTTGTAGAATGGGCCAGTAAGCATGCTGCATGCTACTTCATTCTTATATTATGTGATGGAAACTGCAAGTGACTTTGGTATGAATAAACTGACTATTCCTACAATTAGAAATAAGAAAAACAGAGGCTCATGGATTATATCAGTAATACCGATTGTCAAAAAAATGTCAAGAGCTAAATAAGGTTGGAAAAGTTACAGTGTGTAATAAATGGCTTAAAAGTCAAAACATAGAAAGGGTCTCTATAGAGTGATCAAATATGCAGGAAAAGCCCTGTTATATTATAAAACTGTGTGAGAAAGGTGAGAATTCACAACAGCATATGTTTAGTGATTGATGGCTTGACAGTTTTAAAAAGTGCAATCATTTTTATAAAAGTTTTCTGGTTAGCTTTACAAAGTACTGCAACTTAAAACATACTGGACACACATAATATACTTGAGATTCCATTAAAATCATCAGCTACCGAAATCTCTGCATCCACATCAACACAACCTTTACGGTCATCCCCCTCACCCCAATAAGCCCCAATTGCCTTCTTCACACTCTTTCATTATAATTTAAGAGGAAAGTACAGAAAGACCCCCATATCCTTGGAGGAATGTGTTCCAAGGACCTGCTGTGGATACCAAAATTTGTGGATAGTAGCAAACCCTATGTATAAGTTCTGAAACTACCTCTTATAAAGTTTAATTGATAAATTATGTACAATAAGTGGAATATTATCACTTTTTCATGATGGGAAGCACTTCTTGGCCTCTCCCAGGCTTTAAAGGGGACTGCCAACTTCTCTCGTTTTGCACTTTCCACCAGGAATTTTTATTGACCAAAGAAAAGCTTTTGACCAGTAGGACCAGGGCATCATACTCAACACTTGACCATTATGGTATAAGGGGGCCATGTGTTTGGGCATATTTCAAATCCTCCCTTACTAAACAGGTATCAGTATGTCACATTAAGACACAGCATCTCAACCGGCACTTGATACTGGATTTCCCACAGGGAAGTGTCCTTGGACCCCTGCTCTTCCTCATTTACTCAATGATCTTCCAACGTATCCCAACACCTGTAACCCTTCTCTTTCTGATGACATGACTTTGTCATCTTCACCCTAATCTTGCCCCCCTCAACACCATTGTTAATGAGGAGCTGCTCAAAATATCAACTTGGATGACAGCAATTTAAACTTCCATTTACCCCTCCAAAACCTTCTATTGTTCGGTAAGCAGGTGTGCAAAAACTAAACATTAAGATTGACGCACTCTAATTGCCGACATAATGAGGGCAATTCCTAGGCCTATACCTCGTAACAACCTGAATTTTCAGCACCCATATCCAAAACATATCAAAAAAAGTATCCAAAACGTTGGGATCCTCTCCAAGATACGATACTACGTGCCGCAAAATGCCCTTCTCACACTATTTCCCTTTCACTCATTTATCCATACCTCACCTATGCTATTTGTGCTTGGGGATCAACTGCAGCAATACACCTAAAGCCAATAATAACTCAACAAAAAGCCACAGTAAGAATAATCACTAAATCCCATCCCTGGCAACACACTCCCCCACTCTTCACAGATCTAAACTTACTCCCTGTTCAGAACATCCACACTTACTACTGTGCAATCTACATATACAGGACCTTAAATTCCAATATTAACCTTGACCTAAAATGCTTTCTTGATAGTTGTGACAGGACCCACAAGCATAACACCAGACACAAACATCTCTACGACATTCCCCGTGTCTGACTAACTCTATACAAAAATTCAATGTATGTCAAAGGCCCTAAAATCTGGAACACCCTACCTGAAAACTCAAAACTGCAGACACATTCATCACCTTCAAAGCTACCGTTAGAAAACATCTTATCTCCCTGATACACCCCGTCAACTAACTACATAAAAACCACCTGGTGGTTCACACTTACACTCACTCACTCACCCATTTGACTCTAAGCACAGAAATACCTATCTTAATCTTAAAATAATGATTCCTAACTAGTCACAAGTTTGCCTGTGATACTCCAATATAGAAACTATGTATTGTGCCAAAACAAAAGTATTCACATTGCTAAACTCACAAACTAGTATTTAGTCAACTTACTCCACAATTTGTAATAATTTAGGGTTAAGAATTAATCAAAGTTTGCTCGAAATGCCTAGCCTTGCTAGGTGTTCTAGTGGCCCCCTCTGTAATTAGTATTTTATTACATGTAAACCACACAATAACCAAAATCTGTAAACCCCACATTGTAATCCTTATAGAGAATCAACTTTGATTTGATTTGATTTGATTATTATGCAAAAGTAAGAGGTATTTTTGGGCCACTGTAAACCATGGATGACAAACTGCAGATAACGAATCAGTGGATATGGGGGTCCTACTGTAATACCAGAATGAAAGGTAGGTTATACTGCAGTAATGTTTATCTTGTACAGTATTAAAAAAATTTGGTGCACATATTTACAAGTATCTGAAATGTAACACTTTTTTTTCCCCATGTTCTTCACTTCACACACTGGGATTTTAAATGCACAGATATTTGTGAGTATACCCTGCATGCTATAAAGGAGGTTAACCATATATATTTCTTTTAAGACATTTCATTAGAAAACTGACCTGCAGACCAACAAACATAATAACATTGTGACGTCCTTTAACGGGCACATTTGGCTTTGTTCCGGATCCACCAGCTGTAATTAAAAAAATAAGAGAATTTATACAAAATGCATTTATTTGCTAGCATTCCTATCTTTTCACTCTCAATTTAAAAAAATACACTTTTTTTTACCCAGTTATTCTAAAACAAACCCTGTGTGAAGCTGGATTCATATTCTAAAGAAAATTTATGAAAGAGAAAAAAAATTTAAATGATAAAAACTAAGTAAAATTTGCCTGAAGAAACAATTATGGTATGAAGTTGGAAACAGCCCTAATGAGCTGTAGGAAAATAATCAAATAAACAAAGAGCCCTTTACTATACCCAACACAAAACTAAAAGTTATGTTGCTAGTCCCTTTAACAAGTTCCTTGAACACTGTTGTCTGAATCATCGACGCTTGTTAAGGCACCAGCCATCTCATCAAAATAAATTGCGCACGCACATTTTCCCGTAACTGTTTCACAAGTCTAATGTTGACATCCGACTCAAGCAAGGCTGCACAGATTTCTTTAAGGAGGTCATTGAGAACATCCTCATTGATAATAGTGGCATTGTTGAGAGATTTAAGGGCAGAGGTTATCTTGCGACCTAAGTCTGCAAACACCATCTTGGCTGAGCCTGTTCACAGTCCCTTCAGTCAAAACAAAGCTGTAAAGAAAAAAATAAGTTACATAAAATGCTCAAAGAATTTTATGATTACAAGAGAGAACACAACTCTCCTTTCCCCCCCTCCCCCCCCCCAAAAAAAAGGGAACTACAGTATTCTATATGACTACTCTTGACTCAGTTCACATATAGCCCTAAATTGTGGCTGCTGGTATGGTATTAATGATACTTAACAGAGCAAAACTATGGTATCTTGGTACAGGGGAAGTCTTCTGCAACTCTTTTGCCAAAACAACTGTTCAGCATGACCTACTTTCATTCATGGGCCACTCCCACCTGTGACATCATTTCTAGCTACTTCACCTCATTTCTGCTCTGGTACACAAGGTCTGCCTGTATGCCTACGCTGCAGATTTGAGGGACTGACCACCATCTACTAAGGCTGATGGACTGAGCACATCATAACTACTACTCCCGTCTCCAGTGTTGCTTGATGCAACACTGGAGAAGCCTGCTGAGCAGGAGAAACGTTTCAGCAATAAATTATTATTTATCATGGGAGAGCGGTAAACCTGGATTATACAGCATTTGTGGAAAGGGGGGGGTGCAGAAGGCATTTAAGCTTCATGGAACTGGAGCTCAGATCCAATTCCCTAGATCAAGAGCCCCTCACCAGCATCAAGGAGCATATGCAACAGTTAGGTATCTTTATTTCGAAACGTTTCGCCTACACAGTAGGCTTCTTCAGTCGAGTACAGAAAAGTTGATAGAAGCAGAAGAGACTTGAAGACGATGTAATCAGTCCATCACCCTTAAAGTTTTGAGGTGGTCAGTCCCTCAGTCTGGAGAAGAGCATTGTTCCATGGAACAATGCTCTTCTCCAGACTGAGGGACTGACCACCTCAAAACTTTAAGGGTGATGGACTGATTACATCGTCTTCAAGTCTCTTCTGCTTCTATCAACTTTTCTGTACTCGACTGAAGAAGCCTACTGTGTAGGCGAAACGTTTCGAAATAAAGATACCTAACTGTTGCATATGTGTCTTACCTAACAACCTGTCGGTATTTTATACCATTTTAATGTTCAGCATCAAGGAACCTCCCTCGAGGGGTTCACTAATAGATACCCAAATGTTGCACCATGTGTTTTATTAATTTCCTTTGGTATACAGGCCCTCACCAGCGTCAAGCAACGCCTCTAAGGAAGACTAATGCCTCACGATCAACTTCATGCTAAAATCATACTATTTAACTAAACTCACTTTTATAAATGCGTGCAAATTGACTTATGATCGCTGACCCAGAGTAACAGTCACAGTACATATATTAAAGTTCCGCCTCAGATCAACCTTTCCTGACCTCAGTTCCAGCTCCTGTGCCTCATGAACAATGGGTAACACGACAAGTTAAGTGTAAAATCCCAGTCATTATGAGGGAGATCAAACATCAGCTGTTAGTAACTCACGGGGAGACAGTCAGGTGTTGTTGGGGGTTGTAAGGGCCACTGACAGCTGGACACCTATCAACCCATTTGACTACTTCTTCATGTCCCCTCGAGGAAGGTTCCTTGATGTTGGTGAGGGGCTCTTGATTTAGGGAATTGGATCTGTGCTCCAGTTCCCCGAATTAAGCCTGAATGCCTTCCACATCCCCCCCCAGGCGCTGTATAATCCTCCGGGTTTAGCGCTTCCCCCTGATTTTAATAATAATAATAATAATACTTCATGTTAATAGATAGGTACATAGGTAGGTAGGTAGGTAGGTAAGTAGGTAAATAAGTAAATAAGTAAGTAAGATTATTTAGGCACAGATACACGTAAGTACAACTATCATACATAGTGTAAATTGCCTAGATAATCCCCAAAAAATCGGACAAATTGACTTATTTCAATTGAAGTCCAAAAGGTGCCTGATGAATGTAGCCACAGAAGGGAGGAGAAAGATTTTTTATTTTTTAGTTAACACACATATAAATATAAATAATTCATTTTACCTTATTCCTAGTATATCTCCTTCATAGTATAATAATAAGATATCTCTTTTATAGCATAATAAGGTATTAAAAGGATCCCACTGGAAATAAGTCTCTCTATTTTGGATTATCCTAGGTTCTCTACATATATTCTGCTATGTATGATAATTATAATCTATGTAACTATTTGTGTATACCTGAATAAACTTACTTAAATTGTAAATTGTTTACGGTAATTTATACCACTGATCTTTCATTGCTTGTTAATTTTAAGCATGCCCATTTATGAATATGAATATGACTTATTTCAATAATAAAAATAATAATAATAATAATAAATAATAATAATAATAATAATATAATAATAATAATATAATAATAATAATAATAATAACACTCATTTTTTACAAGTACATAATACAACTTACGTAGACATAGCTAACATCAGTTATATATTAAATAAAAATCCCCTTGTTATGCGGAGCATTTCTGGCAAATTAGGTTAATTTTGTTTCCCAGGATGCGACCCACACCAGTCGACTAACACCCAGGTACCTATTTACTGACCTGGCAGCTAGGTCAGGTGGACCACCTTGCCTAAGTCCCGGCAGAGAGGGACACCTACACCCCCAACTCGAGTGTAGTAACCGGCTTCACTGCTAAATCGTTAAATATCCGCAGAGCGTAACAATAGAGGTGATGACTGGTGATGCTGACTGGAAGCTTGGAGGGCTGGAAAAACTGCAAAACGAAGCTATGAGGATCATCCTAGGATGCCCTCGTACTGCTAAAATTTTAAATATGCGGAAAGAACTTAATATTCCAAGCATTAGAGATCGTGTTACTGAAAGAAATATCCTTATTGGGGTCAATATGCTTAGGCTAGCCCATTCAAACCCCTGCACAGAAGCCCTCCAAACTTTCCTCAGCACTGGTGAACATCCTTCCAGATGGATCGAAAAAACTGGAACCGACCTCCGCATGAACAGCTACATGATCTATATCAAGTTGGGACAACAGAGACATTCCCTGCTCCATGGGATATTCCCCCATTCCAAACTACCATTCCTCCATTTCCCCCCAAAAACTCTTCTTAAATCACAACCAAAGTTTCGTCTTGAAGCCAAACATGATGCCTTAAGCTGTATTGATAACTTATTCACACAGAACAATCTTTCAAAAATTATTTACGTCGATGTTCTTTTTCACCAGTCCACTGGTGCAGCTGGTAGTGCCGCTGTTGTCACACAGAGTGATGGCTCTCATAAAGAAATTGGAGCACGCATCAATAACTGGGCCTTACCCTTCAAACAGAACTTTTTGGGCCATACTCCTTGCACCCCAAATGTGTCCATGAAATCAAAGGGTTGACACTTTAATTGTAACTGATTCTCTGTCATCCATAAATGCTCTCAACCATTAAGTATAAATTGTGGCATGTTTTTGTCAAAGCCAGACACAGGTATGGTAAGATTGTGGACAGTGGAGTCAGAGTGCACATGCTGTGGATTCCATCTCACATTGGTCTTCAGATGCATGATAGAACTGATAAATTGGCTAAGCTGTATGCTTTCAAAGAGGGAGTAGATTACAATCTTGGCTTGTCAGGTAGTAGTTTGAGAACAATAATACGAAAAGAAACTTCAGCTGAATTTTATGGACTTAAGGCTCAGGGAGAGACACCAGTGAGTCCATCTATCATCATTCTATCATGCAGGGGGAGCCACATGTCTATGGTGCATCCAACAAGATAATAGACTCTTGGATGCACTCCCGCCCGCCCCGGCTGGGTTACAAGTATCTGTGGCGGGTTAAATCACCACCACCAGATGTAAACCAAACGAAATGTAAACTTTGCCAGATGGACAAATGCACACATTGCGTCATTATTTTACTGGAGTGTGATAAAATTAATGAATTTAGAAACAACCACTCAGAAGGTGTTTCAAGAAATGGCTAAGTATTTTATCCACAGTGGGTTAAAATTTCAGACCATTCTGGAGAAATACCCTGACTTTGCTAGCTGTAAATAAAGCATTACCACATTGTGCATGTGTTGTGGTGGTTTTGTGTGTGTGTTGGTGTGTGTGGGTGTGTGTGTGTGTGTGTGTGTGTGTGTGTGTGGTGTGTGTGGGGTGTGTTGAGTGTGTGTGGTGTGTGTGTGTGTGTGTGTGTGTGTGTGTGTGTGTGTGGTGTGTGTGTGTGTGTGTGTGTGTGTGTGTGTGTGCGTGCGTGTGTGTGGGTGTGTGTGAGGGTGTGTGTTGCGGGTTGTGTGAGGGTGTGTGTGTGTGTGTGTGCGTGTGTGTGTGTGTGTGCGTGTGTGGGTGTGGGGTGTGCGTGTGTGGGGGGTGTGGGCTGTGTGGGTGTGTTTTTGTGTGTGTGTGGGTGTGTGTGTGTGGGTGTGTGTGAGGGGGTGTGTGTGGGTGTGTGTGAGGGGTGTGTGTGTGGGTGTTGGTGTGTGTGTGTGTGGGTGTGTGTTGTGGGTGTGCGTCCTTGTGTGTATGCAATATTTGTACGCTCGTGTGCACATGTCCGTGCGTGCGCCCTCGTGTGTGTACGTGCGCGCGCGCTCGTGTGGGTGTATGATCCACTTAATATTTGTATTATAAAATCATTACAATTGTGACCAGGTATGGACGTATCAGTGGTTCATTACTTTGTAATTTGTTCATGACTGTAACCATGTATAGGAGTGAAGCTGATTCATTACCTCTGTAACTTGCCATGATTAGTGACCAGATCTACCTGGAGTTCATTACCTTTGTAACTAGTTCAGCTGTCATAACTTTGGGGTCCAGTCACTGGACCAATTATGTACCTCTGTAATCTTTTGACTACCGCCCACAGGATGGGTATGGGGTGCATAATAAACATATTAAACTAACAACTAAACTGACTGGTGATGCTCGTGTGATGTAGTCAGCCAGTAAGATAACACGAAGACAAGCCTCCCAAAAAACAAAAACGGAAAATATTTATCACCGATGTCCAGGGGAGATCGAGACACCCCCCACACCACCAAGGATGTC